TTTTTTTTGAGTATGCTTACAATTTCTCCTGTTTTTGAACCACTGTTTTCAAGCTTTACCCGCGTGCTGGTCCAAGTTTTTGCAATACTGGTGGTGCTCTGGGTTTACCGTTAGTACTGTGTGGAGAAAAGAAAAGTGACGATCCATCATTAGAAGCTGCCATTGTTACACAAGGGAACGGTAATCGGCATGCGGTCAGTTTCGCCGAAAACTTGGCAAAGCTTGTGCATAACAGGATTTTCAGACATCGTACGAAAGTGATTCAAAAGAGATAGAACAGCTCATGGATGAGATGGTATGTTTTATCACTCAGAAAGAAGGAGAAGAGGAGGTAAGGGGCTCGATCTTGCTATTTTCATTCATGTCTTTGCTTTTCACTATAAGGATGTGTTTAACAGGCTTTTGTCGAACGCACGTTCATTCGTGATATGACTGGCCGGCCAGTCAAAATACAGTCGGGTCACAAGTTTACCAATGACATATTGTCTGCAAGGAGATCGCGAGCTCGACTACTTCAATGTAAATTTAATTTTTCGATTGCTCTCGTTATCTGCAATAGCACTATTTTTCAGCTGAACCTTACGCATCAGTTCTTCAACATGCGAAATCATATCTCAACGAATCTCGAGAGCTTTTTGACAATGTATTTTCAACGGGTTCTTCTCACCAGTCACAAAAGTACGTTTTTTTATTTCAATTTTGTTATCTTTCAACATCGTTTGTTATAGTTGGTGGAATGCTGTCACATCGAATAGAACGCGAAGGAAACCTAAAAGGCCAAACACTACGAAGTTATCTCCATTGATGAAGCTACCTACCCATGATTCCTGTGATTCGTACGAAACGCGATCTCATGAGGTTTCAGAAGATGCTGCTGCTGAAATGGATCTGCTTTCACTCAAAGAGTGAGTTTTCATTGATATTTCTTCATTTTTGTTGAATGAGTCATTGTTTACCTCTATGCCAATCGAATTATTTGCAGGAAGCTTGCAGTCCGGTTACATCACATGAATTTGCAAGTTAGTGAGCAAATTCAGTTCGAGGAACATCTGCTCAGAATATTCGAGAGGTTTTACGAATCATATAATCCGAAGGAGTATCTCAAAACCCTTCTTGACATGGAACGCGACTTTGGTATGTTTCTTCTTTACTTTACGTTACGTAATTATGTGTGTTTGCAAGAACGGATCGCTGGAAATAAATGTTACAGAGGAAGGAGACTCAGAAGCAGTCGTTCAACAAAAACGAATCGAACGGCTTCGATATGTGCTCATGCTTCCGCCAGGTAAATTGGCTCCAGAGAAGAAACCCGATTTTGGAGACCATTGCGGCACGGTTATCAACAGTCCTGACGAAGTAGATATGAATAAACATATGCTGGTGAGAATTTTTTTT